CAGTAATCCATGCTGCTTCACATGTTAGCTTAAAAATGCCACTTTCAACACAAATCATTGTTTATTCTCTCTACCTTGGTTGCCATATTTATTAAGCCAAATATTGAAGTCAGAAGTTCATTAAAATATTGGGGGGGCATCTTTTTTTCTTTATTAGGATTATTCTTACTCCCTCATTAAGAACCGACAATTCCTCTACTTCTTCCACAAAAGACTGAAGAAGAAGGATTTTGATGTGCAGCAATACAACAAGTTAAAAGAGGATCTTGAAGAGGTATCTTTAAAATTCCAAGTATCTGTAGCTACATTCGCAAAGCCAGATATTCATCTGTGATGGCTTGCCTCAGGGTCGTCCAGTTGCTTTCCAGTTGCAAAATTCCTCCCAGGCAAATTTGGGTTGTTTTTTTCCCCCAATTTTAAAAAGATGCATGTTGAATATGAAATGGAGCTCAAAATCTGTTTATCCTCCTCCCAGGTTTTCGTCTTAAAATTTTATATTTACTCATGTTTTATAGTCTTCATAGAGACATGAATAGCTCACATTTATATGATACTTTATACTTTACACTGTTTCCTCACATTATGGTTCTGTGGGTGTAGACCCCCTATCCTGTAACTCTGTCACATGGGATGCTGGCCCATTTAGTCTCTGGGCTGGCTTGCTCATCCCATTCCACCCTTGTATATACAAGACTGAGTTTTCAGATGAGGACTAACTACCATCATATGGCTCTATTCACACTTTCTCAAGCTCCTAGGAGTGACTTATGCAAGAATATACTCCCTCTACTTACTACTTGAGGTCTTGAGCCCTCACTGGTGTGCTCCATTTATATAAAACCGGTGATGAAAACCACTAGATCCTAAACACAACCATCTATTTAACAATAAAATAAAAGCAATAATAATAATTTTAATTTCACATGCACTCACTCTAAGCAAATTCAGGAATAATCAATAAACCAAAGTCTATACATAGACCTGAATCATACTTTATTATCAGTGGGCACACACTTACACGTGAGTGAGGAAATCCCATACGCTCAGGGTAACTCCCAACTGTGGTCTTGATGTCATCAGTCCTTTCAGGCAGTACAGGAAGGATCTTCTCTGCTAACTGCTCTTACAGCGCTCCTCACCACTCTTCTGCTAGGCAAATCTTATCTCAAAATCACAAAGAACTGACCAGCTCTTTTAACTCACAGTCACCCTTAAAAGGGTGTTCAGGAAGTGTTACACTTGTTATATTGGCTAGCAGAGAACTCCAGAGCTCATCAGACTGGCTCTTTAAAATTTAAAGTTGAAACAAAAAATTAAGGCAGGCAGGGCAAATATATACCTCATTGGAAAAAGGTAACAATGAAAAGTTGGCTTTTTAACCAAATGCATCCTAGTCCTAGAAAGGTAGGGACTGCTCTTCCTGCTAGGAGATAAGATTATTTTTTTAAAGTAGAGCTGCGGTTTCATTGCTGTAGGGAACTCCCAATGAGTCAGCTTTCCCTACCAATGTAAATCGACACTGCTTCTACAGTTTAAGAGTGGAAGAGCATAGCCTTAAGAGACTGGCCCAGGGTCACAAAACCTGAATGTGTCAGAGGTGGGACTTAAACCCAGGCCTTCCGGACTGAGAAGCTTTACACCATGTGGCCTTTTAGGACTAATATTAAACCTGAAAGTCTGATCCTGTGTAGATGCAGTTTAAGTCAAATAAACATTTTTTTAAAATTTATTTTGATTTATCAACAATCACTTCCATGTGCTTTTGAGTTTAAAATTTTTCTCCCCCTTCCTCCCTACCACCCTCCCCAAGATGGCACACAATCTTATATAGGCTATACATATACATTCCTATTAAACATATTTTCACATTAGTGATGGTGTAAGTAAGAATTAGAACCAATAGGAGGAACCACCAGAAAGAAGAAACAAAACTCAACAGAAGAAAAAAAAATAGCAGATAGTATGCTTTGATCTGCATTCAAACTGGATGTGGATAGCATTTTCCATCACAAGGCCTTTGGAGATGTCTTAGATCCTTGTATTGCTGGGAAGGGTTGAGCAAATAAACATTTCTTAAGCATTTTCTAGGCGGCACCCACTGTGTTTTCAGAATAGTAAAAGAGGGACAAATGAAGGAGGGAAAATGGAGGCCTTTACACCTCCCCAGGTTTGTAGATCCCTCGGCTTCTGCTTTATAGCCACAAAAACCCTGATGCTGATTATATAGTAATGGATTTAGGATAAACTAGACACATATTAAATGCAGCCAAGGAAAAGTATGACATGCCATTGGCCCAGCACAGGGGAAAAGCCATTTTGAGTTTGCCTAAGAATTCCTTGAAGACATGGGTACGTTCCAGCACGAGGCAGGCTACTGATGGGTTTCTCGTTCTTTTTTCCATCCTTTTCTGTCTTTCACTTGGTTAGGCTGAAGAGTCTCTGCAGCGTCTGCGCCAGCCTCTCCACCTCCGGTTACCAATCCAGGAAATCAAAGGGAAGAATTAACATCTGCTTTAATTGTTTTATGAATGTTTATTACTTTGTCTTGGGGACTGGATATTCAATGACTCTGTTATTATAGATTTGAATGTTTCAATAAGGAACAAATAAACTTTTTTAGTTAATGACATTATTTCTTGGAAGACAGAAATATTCTGAATTCTAAATCTTATAATGAGGTTTTGATTTTTTAGTTCTAATGAGTTAATGAGGGGTCTGGGATTACACTGGGCAGCTAGGTGGCACGGTGGATAGAGTGCCAAGCCTGGAGTCAGGAAGATTCATTTTCCTGAGTTCAAATCCAGCCTCCAATACTTATTAGCCGTATGACCATGGGCAAGTCACTTAACCTTTATTTGCCTCAATTTACTCATCTGTCAAATGAGCTGGAGAAGGAAATGGCAAAACCATTCCAGGATCTTTGCTGAGAAACTCCAGATGGGGTCATGAAGTCTTGGACATGACTGAGAAACAACTGAACTGGTATTATACAGGTGTTTGGTTATCAAGGATCTGGGCTAGAAGGGACTTAAGAGGTCATTCTAGTGTCCAGGGGTGGGGAGCCTGTGGCCTTGAGGGCACGCGTGGCCCTCTAGGTCCTCAAGTGCGGCCCTTTGAATCCAAACTTCACAGAACAAATCCCCTTAATAAAAGGATTTATTCTTTAAAATTTGGCTTCAGTCAAAAGGCCGCACTCAAGGACCTAGAAGGCCACATGTGGCCTCGAGGCCACAAGTTCCCCACCCCTGTTCTAGTCCAACTCCATCATTTTAGAGATAAGGAAAGAGGCCCAGAGGGATGAATGACTTGCCTAGGGTTAAATGACCACTTCAGGGTTAACTCTAATTACAGCTGAAAATCAATAAAATATCAGTAACCACCATCTATATACCTGCTTTCCCAGTCTCTGCAAAAACTCTGAGACTTTTCTCTATGCATGTGGCATGGGCAACCCTGATGGAAGATCTGACAAGAGAATAGGTAGTAAATGACATGCTTTCAGTATCCTGTATCTTTCTGGTCAAGTATTTGACTGAAAGGTAAAGAATAAATAAATACATACAAGGATCCCCGACCTCCTCCCCTACCCCCTCAGTCTTTACTATTTGACTATTTCACAAAATGGATTTGATCCAACAGAAATGTAACCTTAGAGTTCTTAACCTGGGGTCCATTCAGTAATTTTGTTTTAAAAAAAGTTATGCTGATAACTATATTTCAATATAATTCGTTTGCTTTGCTTTTTACTTTATTTTTATGCATTTAAAAACACTATTAATTACGAGGAGTCTGTAGCCTTCTTGATAGGAAAAAGCTCAAAAATTTCTGCCTTAAACCTTCTCTTCCAAGAAAGTATCTGCCACATAAATGTTTAAAACCAGCTGATTTTGTTCAGTGATTGGCTTGATATTAATATCTTGCTCTCTTGATTAACATTTTAATATTATCAGGCAGGCATAGGACAGGAAGATGTACGTGTACCAGGTGTTTACCACTGTCAAGGAGGCTGTCCAGTGCGGAGTCAAAAGAATTGTTTTTTGTCCTTTGTTTTCCAAGCTGACCAGTGACATCACAGGGTGATGTCTTGACTTGCGCATGAATTGGACTTAAGTGAGTCAGAGCCGCACAACGTCATCAGCCTCACTCAGTCTCCCAGAGTCATCAAAGTCCAGTAGCAGGACAAAAGTCAGGATGACTGGTGATGGCCCAGGGTACAGTGGATGACCTTGGCATCTCTGATGCCTGACCAAGCTCTAAGTGCCCCCGTAGCACCTGCTTCAGCTGCCTTTGTGGCCATTGGAACAAATTGTTCTCATTAGCCCATTCCACCAGGGGAAGTCTTCTCACACTTGGGGAAGACACCCCCTATCTCGCTGACAGGTGTGAGGCCTATTGGTTACCCTTAACCTGGTTTAGCCCATCTGCTGAGTTTTACCAGGGTGTGATCGCTGCACATGCTACAGCTTCTTGGAGCCACAGGTGAGACTGAGTGCCGTGTAGGCATCAAAGGTGGATGAGAGCCCTGGAAAGGGCTCAGCACGCTGTCACACCAGAGGTGCTCAGCCTCCCTGAAAACTCCATACACCCCTATAACTTTGTAAATGCCTGCATGTGAAAGACATTGTGCTAATATCTGAAACCTGCAAAGCCTCCTAAATAAGATTCATAAATACTCAAGTTTAGCCCAACAGTTAACACATGAAAAGCCCAAGCGAGGGAAGAATGTCTAATTATTCAGATGATCATGCAGTTGGATGAAAGACCAATAGTCCATTAGTACATATGTCTTATGTAGCCACTTCCTAAGATGGACACTGAACCAGGCTTGAAACTAAGTAAGAAGTGAATAGGTTAGATTACATTTAGGAAGTTTTAGTAAATTTTCCCCTTAAACATGCATGTTTTTTTTTTAAACTCGAGGCAGTTGGGGTTAAGTGACTTGCCCAGAGTCACACAGCTAGTACATACCAAGCGATCAAGTGTCTGAGGCTGGATTTGAACTCAGGTCCTCCTGAATCCAGAGCTAGTGCTTTATCCACCGTGCCACCTAGCTGCCCCCAAACATGCATGTTTTAAACACTACTATTCTCTAGTGTTTACTATATGACAGTCAACCAAGGGAAAAAATCATGAACTAAAGGTACAGTTGATCTAAACAGAAATGGCGAGACATATGGTGGGCACAGGTGAGTCACAGCATATTACCAACAAAGAACCGTATATCAAAACTGATGTTAAAAGGTACCTCTTGGCATCCCAGATCTCCTTCAGAGCTCAGCTTTGGCCATACAACAGGCCTTTTTTAATCTCAGGTTACTACTACCACTCCCTCTTGCCCTGATGAAATTACTTTTTCATTTGAGGAGTGTAGGAACTATTATTTATTCATTTTTGTCTCTATCTTTAGCTTCTAGTATACAATAGGTACTTAATAAATTCTTCTGACCGACTAATCCAAGAAGTATAAGAAAAGAAGATGATGGGAGGTCATGGACAGCCTGTATGGTCTAGTGGGACCCATGTAACATCAAAAGCTCTAGAAAAGATTTATGGGAAGACAAGAATAGAGTCATTCTGGATGAGCGTGTATTGAGTTATAATCTGCATCAGGAGGGCATGCATAGATGGGATCAAAATATCAAAGCTGAAAAACTGCCATGGAAATGATAACATTAGTTAGGTGCATAAATTCATTTGATGATTTGAGTTCTGTCTCTGTGTTTACAACTGTTTGTTTAAGGAGCAATGACTTCACAGGTGATATGTCTTGCCTTGTGCATAAAATTAGATTGAAGTGAGGCAGAGGTGCACAGAGTTGTGAAGTAGACAGCAGGCAAGTCACTATCTCTGAGCCCATGTCCTCATCTGGTACTACTCATCACAATTCAAACAAGACCCAATATGCTAGCACCAATAGTCCTGTATTTAATGTTTCTATCTTTGCCCAAGTAAATAAGTAGACCACTCACTGAACATCCCGTTGCGTTTTTAGCATCCTGACGTGATGTAAGTTACAACTGATGTAAATTGCTCTTTTGACTTCAAGACCCAAACAATGAGATTTTGATACTTCTAATTCAAGCATTTATATAATATACATATATATATATATATCTATATATATATCTATATATATATAGATATATATATATATCTATATCTCAGAGGTACCAAGAGGTACATTTTAACCTACTGTGTGATGAGTGCTGGGGATACAAAGGCATAAAAGTGTTAACTTTTAAAACCTCTCTAAAGGTGCTCAAAGTCTAATGGGGGAAACAACATGCAAATACTTCCCTACAAACAAGATACATCCAGAATGAATTGGAGATAATCAACAGAGAGGAAAGACACCAGAAATTCCAGATATGTAAAGGTATTTGAATTTCTAGCCCATTCATGAAATTAACTTCCAACCTGGACAGATTTTTTTTTGGGACTAGACTGGTGATTTCATTGGTGTGAGACAACTCCTATCAATTCAGAATTGTAACTCCTCTCCAACTGAGAATTTGAGTGAGCTTCTTAGCCTGGGGCATTGAAAACTTGGAACTTGCCCTGATTATGTGAATACAGTGTTCCGCCTGATTGTGAGACCCCATGGAAATGTATAGTGATAAAAAAAGTAGAACTTCTTTCTACCCAGGTGGGATCCACAGCCAACCATATTGGAATGAAAATGAAAAGAATCAACATGCAATTATATAATTTTTTATTACAAAAGCACCGAATTATTATCAAAACAATGTAATAAATGTAAACAAAATTTAGTCCATCCATATTGTTTCCAAAGCTCAGTCCTTATTATAGCAACTGAGCTTAGGGTACATTACTATAAAAAATTATTAAAATAATCACATTTAAGATAGGATGACAGTACTGTGGTTAAAGCATTTAATTTCTCTGAGACAATCAGAATTGTATAACATCTGCCCAAAAGCCCAGGAAATTGTTCACAGTCTGTACACCAAGTAGAACATTCTGTGGTGTTGCCTCTTTGGGACAGGGTCAATGGAGAGGGGGAGAAGAGGAGGTGGGGAGTTAAGATTAAGAGAGGGGCAGAAACATTTTGGCTGCCGGTAACCACCCAGCAAATCTCACCAACCACTGGGTCTAGAGGGAGGACAAGAATCTCACTGACCATTAGGTATGTGCCTAAATGCCATCTGGGAGAGCCTATCCCAGGAAATAACCAATTGGAATAATAATGAAAATTACTGCTTAAATATTTAACTACATTATAAGAAACCAAAATGAATCATCTTCAGCCTCTGGCAATAAGGTTGCTGGTTTTGCATAGCACTTTAAGGTTCAGAGCCCTTGAAAAATATACATATATCTATATCTATATATAGATATATATATCTATATCTATATATATATATATTCATTAACTTGATAATCTATGAATGAAACCAGTATTAGCATGGCCACCTAAAGAAGTGATCACTAAATTACTAAATCACTAAATAGTGATTTATCTAAAGAAATTTTTTAAAAGGTCTAATTTTAAGAAAATCCTAAGGGAAAAGGAATCTTAAAAATTTACCAATTTGCAACACTAAAATTTCAAAGATTCATTTAAAATTTGCAGCACATCAACTATGAAAGTCTGGGGAGGGGAGTTAGAATGATGAAAGTCTTCTGCAAGATAGGTCATATTTAATCTGTCAATGATTAATTGACAATTTAGAATCTGAGAATAGAACTTACTTATAGACAAACCTTGTCTATATAATTACAAATTCGTTACACTCAAATAGGATCACAGATGAAACAACATGAAAGCAGGAAGTGGGTACCATAGGAATGATGTCATAAAATAAAAAGGTCTTGGCTGGAGATGGAGTCCCCCTAGCAGTCTCAGCAGTAGAATGTTGGGCAGCCAAGGGGTTTGGCAGGGAGAGGGGCAAAAAGGAAGGCAGAATGATAATGCCATCTGATGGGTTGTGGGCACAAGCTTTAAGTCTGGACAAGGCAAGTTTCCACTTATTGGAAAGTATGTATATAAGCTGGGGAGGGGGGAGAGAGATAGGGGTGTTGGTGGTTATTATACATTTATGAGACACCATGGAGATTTAAATAAGAATGTGGGGTTTTTTGGCAGGGGGGGAGGCCAGGCAGTGGGGTTAAGTGACTTGCCCAGGGTCACACAGCTAGTGTTATGTATCTGAGGCTAGATTTGAACTAGAATGTTTGTTTTTTTTAAATGTCTTATATAAAACATACAAAAAGTCCCAGAGAAGATAAAAGTGTTCCCTTTAAATTGAAATGTTAGTGGAAAATGACTTGCTGGTTTTTATTTTTCACTCAAGGATCTAAAAAATCTATGAATGAATATTAGAAAACAGACTTTAGTCAAGAAACAAAGATATCACAAGTACAAATTAGAACCACCTGCTAATTTGGATAGCTACCGATTGATAGAATGTATCAATTATTCACAAACTCTTTGGAAGGTGATTCCCTGATATTCCCTGAGAAGGCTGTCAACACACTAATTAGCAAATAGAACCAAAGCTCTAAAAATGAACATTAATGGAAGTACCATTTTTGGGTAAAACTGTTACAGATCCCCACTGAAAACTCTGCCGCTGAGCAGTGAGGTTCTGTCCCAGAATGGGCATCTGATTAAAAAAGTTTAAAGGCACTGGATCCCAAGATGTTAATTGTACAAAAAAAAAAGTGGGGAGGAGATCGTACCTCCAAAACATGAGGCCACCCGACATTAGATAGACTTTGGAAGGAGAAAAAGCTTTTTGGTCAGCATGGAGGCAAAACATGGAACCTGCTTTTTCCCAATGGCTTCTGGGTCCTTGCAGAAATCCACTCGGCGTTGAGAAACCTTCCTGTTCACCAGCGTGAGAAGTTCTGTAAACTCTAGGGAGGAGCCGTATCTTCCCAGCATCTCGCACAAGTCTTGAATGTACCAGGAGCCATTCACTGTTTCACGGTGAGAATAATAACCTGGCAAAGATACAGAAACACAAAATGCCCAGACTTCAGCACAGAGTGCCTACCTTTGGTCTGCCAGACCTTTATGTGGCTCTCGAGAGGCCAAACTCTGTCCGCTGTGCCGTGCCGAGAAATACAAAGTAAGACAAGGATGACCTACTTCTATGGCTGGGACTACTGATCTGTTCTATGAACTGTTACAAATATCCATTCTTATAACCATTTGGGTATCATTGGCTTCCGCTGAAATGCTACTTCATGGGGCAGCGAGGTGGTGTGGTGGATAGAGCACTGGCCCTGGAGCCAGGAGGACCTGAGTTCAAATCTGGCTTCAGATACTTGACACCTACTAGCTGTGTGACCCTGGGCAAGTCACTTAACCCCACTGCACAGCAAAACAGAAAACAAAAAAGAAATGCTATTTTATTTTATGCATTTAAAAGCAATATTCTGAAAGGGGGTCCAGAGTTTTCACCAGAATGCCAAAGGAGTCCATGACATCTCTTGCTCTAGAACCAAGGAAGCAAAGAGAAACATTATTGTCTTGATATTGCTTTCAAAGAATCTGACCCCAAGAGATCACCATCGTCTGTAACTGGCAAACAGGCCGCTCATGATAACACAGATGTAGATATGGGTCCAAATACAGATCAGCTCTCCCCCCCCACCCCCAATTTTGCAAACTGATACATCTTCTAACAGTCACAGATATCTCCTTTTAGGAATATAGCCTATATATGGGGGTGACTGCTATTTCGACCCAACAGCACTACTTAATGTTTAAAACAGTTTATCTTTTTGGCTTCATTTAAAACTAGATGTTGTGAACTGATTTCACGTGTGATTTTCCAGATCGTATTTTAGTCTCAATTCTGCGCCCAGTTCCAGGCGTACTATTTATCACACTACTCTTACGAAGCAATGAGTGTAATTGGGAGGGTTGCCAGTGCTGAGTCCTCACAGCAGCATGAGCTATCTTTGTGAGACCTGGTAGCTAAAAAAAAAAAAAAAAAAAAAAAACAACCAACCCAAAAAACCCAGCCCTCTAGTAGCCCACTGTCTGGTGGTGAGGGGTGTCTGGATGAGTGAAGGAGTCTGCTCCTCAGGCGCCCATCCTCAAAACCTGATCTGCCATCCAGAACCCAAGGTCATCACACCATGATGAGGCGAGAGAGGAGGACTTCAGGAGAGTGCTGTACTCATTAACTAATTAAAGGCTAAGATTTCCTATATAGTCTCTGAGGCTCAGTCAAACTCCAGACCATCATCAAACCACAAAACTCCAGAGTAAGGCCCAAACCCGATGAAACTGTGATTGGGAAACATTTAGTAAAGTAAGTAGAAACACGACAGAGATAACATTAATGGGTGGTTTTCTAAGTTCATTATCCAGCCTACAGGGATCAGTTTCTTTCTTTCTTTTTAATTTTGAGGAAGGTGTATTTTATTTATTCTTTTTGGTGGGAAGACAATCAGGGTTAAGTGACATGTCCAGGGTCACTCAGCTAGTAAGTGTCCGAAGCCGGATTTGAACTCAGGTCCTCCTGACTCCAGAGCCAGTGCTCCGTCCACTGTACCACTTAGCTGCCCCAGGGATCAGTTTCTATTTGAGTTTGATGGGGCAGTGGATAGAGCACTGGCCCTGGAGTCAGGAAAACGTGAGTTCAAATCCAGCCTCAGACACTTAATACTTACTAGCTGTGTGACCCTGGACAAGTCACTTAGCCCCAATGCCTAGCCAAAAAAAGAAAAAAGAAAAAAACCTACTATTTGAGTTTGACAACACAGTTCTGAGCAGTTGGCAAAATGAAAGCAAAGGTCTACCTGCATCAGCTGTGTCCTCAGGACATACTCTAATAGTTCCCTGTGACCTCTAGGATGTCCCTTCCCCCACCTCACCTTGTGTCTGCTTTGTATATCTCATATATACACAGAAGTGAATGTTTCCCCTGTTAAAGAGGAAACTCCCTGAGGACAGGGGCTGTCTTTGGTCTGTGGATTCAAATGCCTGCCTTAAGATACTCAGTGATTCACCAATTTAGGGACAAAGCCTTGACTCAGTTTCTAAGAAGAACACACAAAATAAACTGAGACAAAAATAAGAGCAAAATCTACCTGCCAAGTTGCGAAACGATCCAACCATTTTGGAGAGCAATTTGGAACTGTGCCCAAAGGACTATAAAAATGTGCTTATCCTTTGATCCAGCAATAGCACTTCTAAGGCTGTATCCCAGAGAGATCATACAAATGGGAAAAGGACCCATGTGCACAAAAATATTTCTAGCAGCTCTTTCTGTGGTGGCAAAGAATTGATAATTGAGGGGATGCCCATCCATTGGGGAATGGCTGAACAAGTTGTGGTATATGAATGTAATGGAATACTATTGTGCTGTAAGAAATGATGAGGAAGTGGACTTCAGAAAAACCTGGAAAGACTTTGATGAACTGATGCTGAGTGAAGTGAGCAGAACCAGGAGACTGTTGTACACAGTAACAGCCACACTGTGCAATGACTAACTTTGATGAACTTGGCCCTTCTCAGCAATGCCAGGATCTAAGACATCTCCAAATGCTGTCCACATCCAAAGAAAGAACTGTGGAGTTTGAATGCAGATCGAAGCATACCATTTGCTATTTTTTTCCTTCTGTTGTGTTTTGTTTCCTCTTTCTGGTGGTTCCTCCTATTGGTTCTAATTGTTACTTACAACATCACTAATGTGAAAATATGTTTAATAGGAATGTACATGTAAAGCCTACATTAGATTGCACGCCATCTTGGGGACAGAGAGGGGAGAAAAATTTAAAACTCAAATGCTTATGGAAGTGATTGTTGATAAATCACAGTAAATTAATTTAAAAAATTTAAAAAAAATTCTACCAACCAAACACTCCTAGAAATAGTTAACAGACCTTCTGCAACAGAGTAGCACATGAGGAAGTCGGCTCCGGCAGGGAGAGTGTAAATGGATGCAGCATCTATTTCTGTTTCATTGACATCCGCCTCGTCAGTCTGATGATCAACCACATCTAACGGCTTGACTGGTACATCATGCTGGTCTCCCCGACACGCCTAATAGTATCAGGGAGAAGAGTCAGATCAGCCGCCTCAGACATAAAACACTTACTAGCTGTGTGACCTTGGTCAAGTCACTTAACCCCAACTGCCTGAAAAAAAAAAAAAGCTAACGAATGACTACTAAATTGTTCATTACTAAACATTAAACAATTACTAAATGCCCCTCTGGGGATGGGGATGGAACTCAGGTGACTGCCCAGATAGTAAAGGAATTGGTTTCTACCAGTATTCCAACCTAAAAAATTCAAAATAAGGAAACAGTCAGATCTAAAGCAAACAAAGCTGAATCCAAAAGATAAGAAGACACACACACCACAGGGTGTGCCAGAAGCAGCTGGGTGCGGCAGATTGTTTCAGTCTTTCACTTCGGAAATCCACCAAGGCTCCAAATCAGGGCTGGGTTTATTATTGCTTTGTTGACTGCCTAGACTTAACTGGAAGTGACAAAGAAAAATCTTAATAAGGCAGATCAAACTTAAAAGTGTGTTGGTAATGCCTTTTTTTTCCTGGAGAGCTGGTTGTTAAACATTTACAAGCACACCCTTACATAGGCCACCATGCAGACTAGAAGGATGACTCATGAAGTAACAGTCAAGTACTTTAAATATTTACAGTTTCTATTCACCTAGGTTAACTAGGTGGTGCAGTGGAAGACCCATCTCCCTGAGTTCAAATCTGACCTGAGAGATTTACTGCCTGTGTGACCTTAGGCAAGTCACTTAACTCTGCCTCAGTTTCTTCATCTGTAAAATGAACTGGAGAAGGAAATGGCAAACCACTCTAGTATCATTGTGAAGAAAACCCCAAATGGGGTCATGAAGAGTCTGACATGACTGAACAACTCAACTAACCTGGTCTCCAACTAACCCCACCCAGAGGGGCAGTCATTGAAAGGTAGCAGCTAGGCTGGAGTTTCAAGAGGAGTTGCCAGGTCCTCAGTGGTCATGACTAAGGTTCTTCTCACCACTCCCACCCCCATCCCCTCTTTAAAAAAAAAAGCACTGATTCTATCTAGCCATTCAATGGAACCGGGAAGTCCTACTGGAGGTGGAGGATAAGGGTGGCAGGTGGGGGTAGGTATGAGATGAAGTAAGGCAGAATCTACTAAAGAGGAAGGGGCTTCTGTGCCCAAGGAAAACAGCATGATAAAACTATCCAGCGTCGGTTTATTCATTATTCAGAGTTTAATCTGAGAAAGAAATCAGTCAGGGCACTAAATTCCCCAACGAGGGGAGGCTAAAGATACCTCATGGCAGGGGTCTGTATGGGAGAAAGTATCTCAGGATTAAAGGACAATGTCCAAGAAGAGGATGGAGGCCATAAGGCATCTAAGGGAAAACAAGAAAAAGACTGAATAAAAAAAATTTATATATATATATATATATATATATATATATATATATATATATATATATATAAAATAAATTTTCTTATTCAGCCTACATATGTATATATATATATAGGCATCTAAGGGAAATCAAGAAAAAGACCGAATAATAAAAATATATATGTGTGTGTGTGTGTGTGTGTGTATAGATATAGATATATATATATATATATATGTGTGTATGTATATATATATATATATATATATATGTATATATATCCAAGAGAAAGAATCTAGAAATAAGCCAGTGAGACTAAAAGGCAAAAGGAAGAATGAATAAATATTTTTTAAAAGGCAATAACACAAAAATAACACTGAAATTTTTTTTAAAAGAGCAAAAACAATGAAATTACTAAGCATGTTTTGCATGACTTCACAGGTATGATGCGAATCGTATTGCTTGCCTTACCAGTGGGATAGCCTAGAAGCTAGAGAGAGGGAGAGAATTTGGAACTCAAAACTTTAAAAATAAATATTAATTTAAAAAATCAAATATATATAAAAAAGAATTTACCATGAATACTATGAAAAAGAATGAAAAATCCTCAATGATTAAGAATCCTGCAGAATCCCCAGAGGTCACAAAATAACAGTCGTGGCAATTCCCAAGAGAAATACAACTTGCAGAAGGAGGGCTAGAAATTAGGTCAAAAATCGAAGCTCTCAAAAGTAGAATTAAGGAAGATCTGCATCAGAGCAGACACCTTAGAATAAAATGGAGGCGATCCCCAAAGGAGCAGAAGCTCTGAGAAAGAGAAGAGATTTGAAAGTCAAAAATATGAAAGCAGAGGAAAAATTGGCAGAAGAGAAGCAAGGGACAGTTAACTTTGAAAGAGAGCCCCATGCAGCTAAAACAACTGACTTTGAAGACTGAACATGTACATAATTTAAGGACTCTGGGTCTCCCAGAGAACAGATATCTCTCTTAAATACCGTAGCAAATCTCTTTCACACACATCCACTTAACCAGAATTTAATACAAACAATGAAATCTTGATTGCTCAAATGCAGATTGCCACCAAAGAAAATTCCCATGAGAATGGCTAAATGAATGGCGGCACATGAATATAATGGAACATGACTACACTGTAAAAAATGATGGAAAAGATTACAACGAAGCATTAGAGGGAAAGGAAAATAACTAGAAATCAAGGAAACAATACACACAACTGGAATAGTATTAGTGGAAGAATTTAAATCAAATGCTGTGAAATTTAAATTACCAAGTTTAAGCTTAAAGAAAATGTACCACATCCAGAAAAAGAACTTAGGAGTCTGAATACAGATGAAAGCATACTATTTGCTCTCCTTTTCTTTTCTTTTGTTGTTTTGTTTCTTCTTTCTTGTGGTTCCTCCCATTAGTTCTAATTCTTCCTTATATCATGACTAATGTGAAAATGTTTAATATCAATGTACAAGTAGAGCCTATATCAGATCGCACGGCATCTTGGGAAGAAGGGGAGAAGAGGGAGGAGGAGAAAATTCAAACTCAAAATCTTATGAATGTTGAAAACTAAAAATAAATAAATCATTAAAAAAAAAAGAACCTCTCCAAAGTGTGTAAACTGACCCAGCTGCAGGACTGGTTCCTGTTATGTGTACTGTGATAGAAATCCCCCATTAAAAAATGATTTCCACCATACAAAAATGTGCTTGATTTATTTCCTTCTTACTCCTTCCAGACAGCCCACAAGAAATACTTTAAAATACAGGGGCGAATCAGTTGGGGGATGGCTGAACAAGTTGTAGTATATGACGGTGATGGAATACTTCTGTGCAACCAGAAATGACAAGGGGGATGGTTTCAGAAAAACCTGAGAAGACTTATATGAACTGATGCAAGCAAAGTGAAGTGAGCAGAGTCAGGAGAACTTTGTACAGAGTAACAGCAAGGTTGGAATGACGATCAACTGTGAAAGGGTTGGCTGCTACAATCAATAAATACAATGATCCAAGATAATTCCAAAGGACCCATGATGAACAATGTTATCCACCTCCAGACAGAGAAGTGATGAACTCTGACTGCTTTATTTTCCTTGTTTTGTATGTATGTGTTTTCTTTTGCAACATGGCTAATATGGAAATCTTTTGCATGATTTCATAATAAGTATAATCGATGTCATATTGCTGGCCTTCTCAAGGGGTGAGGTAGGGGTAGGAGCAGGTGAGAGAATGTGAAACTCAAAATTATAAAAAAATGGATGTTACTTTTTTTTAATGTAACTGGAAAATATTTAATGAAATAAAATATATTTAAAAAAATAAAATACAAGGGCAACACTTTTTTAAATTAATAAAAAATATTAATAATTAATAATAAAAAATAGAGGCAAAGTCAAGACAAGCACTCACAAGTCTGTGCTCTTTAATCAACTTTAATTCCGGCGGGCCTGTGATGAGTGTAGCCCCCAGAGAACCAAGATGAATTTGTGACATGCTCATTTATCCCTTTGCAAAATGGTCAAGTTCCAACCACCAGATAATTCTTTTTGGTTGCTTTGCCTTCAGCCTTGAACTAGCCTGGGAATTAGCATGAGAGCAGTTTTGTGAATCACCCATATTTTAAGCCTAAGCACTTGTTTTGCTAAAACCAAGATATCAGCAGAATTCACAATGAATTCATAACTGCTCAGGGCACTCTTGCAAAGAAGTGGCAAGAATTCAAGAGAACAATCATACAGTAACTGCAGTCATTCAGATGAAGATGACAATGCTAAGAGGCAGCTCAGGTGAAATGCAAAGGTCAGTCCTGTTTCCAGGGAATAGGTGATGTAACATGCCATGTTCCTTTACGGAGTCAGTCAACACAAATTTATTTAAGCAGTTACTGTTTGCCAACCAGTACTGGTCTTTACATTTGATCTGAGTCCAGAAGCCTTTTTGTGCTGTTTTCATTAACCTTACTATTTTTATTGTATAAATTGTTCTAACTGAGAACGCTGATACTTTCCAAGAGCAGTCTGAATGGTTATTAATTCTGTAAGAATTCTATGTGCTGAGAATTGAGGATATAAAGAAACATTAAAAAACAAACAACCAACAACAAAAAAAACAGTGACATACATTCTGGGGCAGCTAGGTGGTGCAGTGGATAGAGCTCCAGCCTTGGAGTCAGGAGGACCTGAGTTCAAATGCGACCTCAGACACTTGACACTTACTAGAAGTCACTTAACCCCGATTGCCTCACCAAAAAAGAAAGAAAAAAGAAATTCTAGAAATCTAGAAAAAGGCACTTGCTCTTGAAAAGGTGGTGTGAATCCTTCATAAACAAATGACTTTTCCAAATAACAGCCGTTACTCTTACCTGAATGATGAATATCTTAGGCTTCCCAACCAAGCTCTGACATCTGTCTCCTTTAAACATGGCGGTCAGCTTCTGAATATCAATTTTGGCATCGTAGGCATAGATGTGATTTCCTTCACCATGAGTCAGGAACACACACAAGAAGCAGTCAGCATCCATGTGGCTAGAGGCGGACACTGCAAGGAATGACCGTCAAGAGCTCAGACAGGAGGGAAAACAAAGCATCCATTGACAATTCTATAGGTGAAAACAGTGGTAATCTGGGGCAGCTGGGTGGCGCAGTGGATAGAGCACCAGCCCGGGAGTCAGGAGGACCCGAGTTCAAATGCGGCCTCAGACACATGATACTCACTAGCTGCGTGACCCTGGCAAGTCATTTAACCTCAATTGCCTCGCCCCCCAAAAAATGTATGTATAGTGGTAATCTATCAGTAATTTGGAATAAAGTGGGAGGGGGTGAAAAAAAATCATCCAGCTTAGTGAAATGCAAAAATACAGGGTTATCTTAAAATCTGCTTTCAAATACTGTGCATATTGATGTAAATAAAATGGGGTCCTTTAACTGGATTGTAGCAGCTGGTCTCAGCTCTGAATCTATGCTCTTGTGAAAATAAGTTATTCATAATTAATGCTTCACCAATCTATGATTTCATTGCTATGGGTCCTTCTCCACTGGCACAGGCCATAAATCTATCAATGTAGTGGATGCTCTCCGAGTTTGGCCAGAGCCAAAAAATTCATCGCCAGGGGCCAATATGGTAATAAAAATTAGCATTTACACAGTGCTTTAAGGTTTACCAAACATTTTACATATCTTTTTTCATTTGATCCTCACAACAGCTGAGAGGTAGGGGCTATTATTACCATTTTACAGATGAGGAAACTGAGGCTAAGTGAATTGCCCAGGATCATACAGCTGGTAAGTGTTTGAGGTGGGATTCAAATTCGGGTCTTCCTGACTCCAAGTCTAGCATCCTATCCATTTGCCCACTAGTCAGCCCCCTAATGAGCTTAGCAAAGTTAGTCCTCAGATGACATATGTACATAGAGTCTATCACTAGACTTTATTTGAAACTTTTCCATCTTATAGGACTTATTTACCCTTCAGTGACATAGTCATCAAGGCCCTAGGGTTACTTTCATGTACGAGTGAGGCATCGGATAGGACACCATTGGAGGAAAGTATGTAATAATACATTATAATGACAAACATCATGAAAGCCCATCAACTGAGGAGTGGCTGAGCAAATATGGAATTTAATGCAATGGAATACTATTATCCCCTAAGATGTGATGAAAGGAACAATTTCAGAGACCTCTAGAAAAACTTGTATAAACTGATGCAGAGCAAAAAGAACAGAACGATTTTTATACTATTATACTGACATTGTAAAAAAAAATTTGAAAGATTGAAGAATGCTGATCAATACAATGCCCAAACAAGATTCCAGAGGACCAATGATGGAATTATGTGACCCACCTCCCAACAGGTGATGGACTCAAAATGTAGAATAAGACGTATCTGGACACGGCCAAAGGACACGGATCAACTAAGATGAACATGGGCCAAATAAGACATACATCTGGACAGTGAACATGGCCAATGTGGGAATGTAGTGTGGGTTTCCTTTTATTTTTTTCCTTATTTCTTTTAGTGTGGGCCTGGGGTGGGGGGAAGATAGAAGAGAAAATAAATGTATAACTGAAAGAATTTTAAAATGTATCCTAAACATATAAATCACAGGATCATGTATCCAGAGCTAGAAAGGCGCTCAGTGGATTTTTTTTAATTGTTGTTTTAAATCGTCCTTTATTTTCTTTCTTTTTTTAAAATTTTAATGAATTAATTTTTAGTTTTTCAACATCTCAGTGGATTTCTAATCCAATCCCCTCATTTTACTGATGAAGAAACTGGAGGGGTGAAGAAGTATTAAATGATCTAGCTAAGGTCACAGAAGTAGGAATTGAAATGCCATCATCTGCTCTAGTCAGTACTGTTTCCATTTATGAAATTATTTCAGATTTTTGTCAGCAATAATCATTTATACTATTGTCTGATAATAAACAGGATTTGAGAGGTGTCCAATTAGCAAGGTTTTTACTTAATTCACTGACTTTTCTTAAAGAAGGTACAACTAAGGGCAGGTAGCTGGCACAGTAGATAAAGCACTGGACCTGGAGTCAGGACGACCTGAGTTCAAATCTGGCCTCAGACACTTGACACCTACTAGCCTTGAGACCCTGGGCAAGTCACTTAAGCCCACTGCCTAGCCAAAAAAAAAAAAGAAGAAGAAGAAAAAGGTACAACTGATGCCACCTGATATTCTGCAGATGTGAAATGGGACAGAGAAGGGGCCACCACCACATGATTTCAGGAATGCCATCCAGTCTCTCCCTGGAGCAGCAGGGAGTTATTTAATGGGGCAGGGACTGGAAAAAAGACTGTTTTATAATGCTCTCTGTACCTGGAAGTCTGTTACAAAAGCTGCCCTTTGACTGATGCCTCAAGAGCCATGAGATGTCTCATGGAGCTCATACGAGAAAGAGGGATGGGGGAATAAATAGGCACCAAAACCTGAAAGACGAGGTAAGTCAACATGGTGATCTATGGGTCAAGAAAAAAGACTAATTAAGAAAAACCAAAATGCAGACTGCAGTGAAACAAGTGGATTTGGAGAAAAGGGGCCAGGGTTCTAGCTCCAGCTCTGCTATTTACAACTTGTGTGACCTCAGGCACTCAACTCTATCACAGATACGTATATCAACTATATACTGACATATATCAATGATATAATGAGATGACTCAACTTCTCTGGGCCTCAGTTTCCCAACCTGTAAAATCAGGCAGTTGGGTCAGGTGGCCTCTAAGACACCTTTCAGTTCTAATCACTGTTCCTGAGTGGGGTATTTATATAGCCTGGAGAAGAACAGGTTAAGAGGTGAGGTTTATAAAATTTACATAACGGTGATGACTATGCTGTTCTCTGACTCTCCTAGAAATAAAACAAGAGGACATGTTCAGGTTTCAAAATGAGTTATTTAGGCCATTCATAAGCAAGTCTCCTCACTGATTACAGTTACTCACTGAAACGGAATCTTCCTGAGTGCGGCTTTTTGAGTCAGTGGTTTCATGTCGTTAAATCCCTTTTCTGTCAAGAGTCCTTGAGCCAAGAACCCTTAGCTCTAAACACCCTGGACACCCAGTACTCATGCTGAAAGCCAGAGAGGAACAAGGGGAAGGGCTATCCTGCCAGGATCCCGATTCTGGCCGACAGTATTAATCCTCTGTGAACACAGAGACAGTAACCAAAAAGTACCATATTTGTATATCACGAGCCTGGGGATGGGCAGTCAGCAAACCCTGGGCTTCAAATCCTGCTTCTGACACTTGCTAGTCGTGTGATACTGGGTTAAAGTCACTTAGACTCTCTGGGCTTCATTCCTCACCTATAAAATGAAGGGTTTGGACTGGAAGGAAGGAAGGAAAGAAGGGGAAAGAGAAGGGAAAGAGGAATAAGAAGGAAGGGAGGAAAAGAGGGAAGACAGGGAGGAAGGGAGGAAAAGAAAAGAGAAAGGAAGGAAACATGTATTTATTCTACGCCTACCACGTGCCAGGCTCTATGCTAAGCACTTTAGAAATGGAAGGAAAGAAAGGATGGCTGAGAGGAAGGAAAGAAGAGGATAGGAAGCAAACAAATATTTATTATGTGACTAGTACGATGTGCCTGGCACTGTGCTGAGTACTTTATAAATATCTCACTTGAGCCTCACAACCACCCTTGGAGGTAGGTGCCATTATTATTTTTCCATTTTACAGCTGAGGAAACTGAGGCAGGATTCATACTCAGTTCTTCCCGACTCCAGGCCCAGGGCTCTATCCACCATGCTATCTAGCTGCCTCGATGGTCCCTTGCAGCTATAAAAATCTATGTCTCTCTATCTCCCGATCACTATGATTTGGACAAAGTCAATCCAAAGAAAACGCTACCAATGAGTGTCCTGGCATTTCATCATGACTGTAAAGCGACCCAAGGTTCCCTGTGGCAGCTGAGTTCAGGCTCGGGCAGGGATTGACAGACTGGAAGTTTCAAAAGTGGGCCTAGCGAAAGACACTGTCTGTCTATTGTCCATCTCAGTTAGAACAGTCTCATTCCCAGAAGGTTTGCCACCGGACGATGGAATTTTCTGGCCATGGTGACTGATGAGAACCATCTACAAAGGGGTGGAGGGACTGCGGCTCTGATGATACTAGAACTTTGAGAGTATCTAAAGGCATCCAATGAAAGCACCTCCTCCTTCCCTCCAACCCTCCCAAGTTCTAGCACTTCTACACATTACATGCTTCATCCTCTATCTTTGCAGCAGCTCTTTCCAGACCAGGTTCAAGCAGAGGTGTGCTCATGAGAGCTGATTGTTAAATTTTCAGTGTGAGCATTTGCACCTTGGAAATTGGCCAAATGCTATAAATCAGGGTTTGACTTACTGTCTTGCAGACTGCCTAGACTTAAGAAATGTTAGAGATGCAGATTAAATTTGAAAGTATGTCTTGTATAATTTTTTTCCCCACAGAGATCCAGTTGTTAAACATTTATTATCACACGCCTGGGTTTAACTTCCAATGGGGCTGCTCCCTAATTAGAGACACATATGATGGAGAAACCACATACCCTTATGAATGGTCATTAGCAGGTCTTCAGCTTTAAGATCATCAAAGCAATTCACTTCAAATCCCAGTTTTGAAAGCCTGGGGACAGAGTAAGGGAAATGTTAAGACTTGCCCAAGGAATCCAAATACCTTCCAGGTCCTCCATATTTAGGCTCCCACTTACTTTCCTGGCCCTACCCCCACTCCACTGCTCTCTAATCCGTTCCTGCCCAATTCTGCCTTTTTGGCTTGGGATACATGTTCCCAAGCTTGATCTAGGGTCCCCTCAATCCATCTCCTGCTTCAGGAAACAGCTCAGGTGCCCCTTTCTCCATGAAGCCTTCCCAGAGCTCCCCAGCTCTCTCTGGACCATCTTGCTACTATCAATTACACAACTCAATTAATTAAACAACTCCAGGCCACTCTACTTTGCATTTGCTGCCCTGCCTAGTTTCAATTCCACAGATCAAGATTCCCCTGTGCAGCATTACCCCCGGTACCCACTCCCCTCCCCACCCAGTTTTCATGGCCTCTTCTGTGTGCTGTCTCCCCCCTTTAGACTGTAAGCTTCTTGAGGGCACGGATTATCTTGCTTTTTATTAATTGTATCTCCAACACTTAGCACAGTGCCTGGCACATAGCAGGCACTTAATGAATGTTTATTGGATTGGAAAACGAACAAGTCTTTGTTAAGGACCTACCTTTACGTTAGGCACTGTACTAGTGCTGGGGTTATAAGTACAAAGAATAAAAACATCTCTATTCAATATGAGCTTATATTCTAAAGTACTGAGGACATAAATCTATATACACACCTATATACCTATAATATATAGCATAATATATAATGCATAAAGTATAATATAGTGCATATATATTAAGTATACTATAGCATATATAGCATAATATAGTATATATAATATATAAAGTATAGTATAATAGTATATGTAATAAAGTATAATATAGCATATATATAATATATAAAGCATAATATAGTATATATAGTATATAAAGTATACTATAGTATACTATAGTGTATATATAACATATAAAGTATACTATAGCATATATAGTATAATAGAGTGTATATATGAAGTATAATATAGCATATACAGTCTAATATAGTATATATAATATATAAAGTATAACATATATAAAGTACACTATAGTATATATAGTATAATATAGCACACATATAATATATATATACTATAGAATACATAGTATAATATACTATATATAATGTATAAAGTATAACATACATAACATAATATAGTATATATAATATATAAAGTATAATATTGCATTATAGTATAATATAGTATATATATAATATATATAGTATAATATAGTATATAATATATAAAGCATGATATAGTATATATATAAAGTATACTATAGTATATATAGTATAATATAGTGCACATATAATATATATACTATAGAATACATAGTATAATATAGTGTATATATAATGTATAAAGTATAACATATATAACATAATATAGTATATATAATATATAAAGTATAATATCGCATCTATAGTATAATATAGTATATATAATATATAAAGTATAGTATAATATGGTATATAATATATAAAGTATAGTATAATATAGTATATAATATATAAAGTATAATATCGCATATATAGCATAATATAGTATATATATATAAAATATGTAAAGTATAGCATAATATAGTATACATATAATATAGCATATATAGTATAACATAATATATATATAAAATATATAAAGCATAGTATAATACAGTATATATAATATGTAAAGTATACTATAGCATATATAGTATAATATAGTGTATATATATATAATATATAAAGTATACTATAGCATATATAGTATAATATAGTGTATATATGATATGTATACTATAGCAATATAGTATAATATATAAAGTATAGTATAATATAGTGTATATATAATATGTAAAGTGCACTATAGTATATATAGTATAATATATAAAGTATAGCATAATATATATATAGTATATAAAGTATACTATAGCATATATAGTATAATATAGTATATATATCAACTATACTATAGCATATATAGTATAACATAGTGCATATATAATCTATAAAGCATAACATAGTATATATAATATATAAAGTATAATATAGCATATATAGTATGTAATATACAGTATGATGGATATTACATATTATAATATATAGACATACAAACATATTTATATTATATGTAACATACACAAATATTATCTATACTATATACAAATATATATTTATACACACACATATATAATGATATTATATATAAAGAAATTGCCAAACTAGTCTACCTGGTCTACAGACTATTCCCATCACATGCCCCCACCCACCAACCAACATTTATTTAGCAGCTCCTATGTGCCAAAGGCTGAGAATGCAAAGACTAAAGAAAACAGCCCCTGCCCTCCAGGAGCTTACATTCTACCCAGGGAAGACTACATGTACACTTAGCAGTATATGTAAGATGCCCAGGAAGTGGATCCAAAGTTACATTAGAGGGGATGGTACTAACAACGAGGGAAAACAGGAAAAGTCTCCTGCAGAAGATGGTGCCTGAGCCCCTCTTAATGGCTAATCGAAAGCAACTGGACAAACTATTTCTCTACAAGTAAACTTCAGGGAAAGGAAGTGAGAATTTCAAAGGACAGTTCTGTCTGTGGCCAGCAAAACCAATGGGCTACAGACCCCAAGCCCATGAATGGAGCCTCCAAGGGGACTATCTGAAAATCCTCTTCATTTCAAAAGAAAGGGAAAAAAACCAATGTTGCCAAGCCGCATCCCTCCCCACGGACACTCACTTACAACATCTGCTATCCCGCCCTCATCAGACCTTTGGTCAGTCAGTTGGAGACTATAACGGGTTTATCTTTTCCTGTGTAAATAGCTTGTACTTCCCAACCACACTTGAACCTGTTTCTTTGCTTTGTATCCCCTATCCCTGGCCCAACACAGTGCAGAGTAAATGGCATGGGTTCAATAAATATTTGATTGATGAATGAATGAATGAAAAAACAAATCACATTCAGGCACTTGGCTGGGCACATCGGGGTGGGCTGAAACCTGCTCAGACCAGCTCTTGACCTCAGAAATCAGCATATGCTACAACTCAGGACTTGATTTATTATTGTTGATTGTCTAAACTTAAGAAAGCGAATGAGAAAATGTTAATGATGCAAATTAAAGCTCACACCCGTCAGACAGATGAAGCAGACAAGAAAGAAACCAAGATTAAAGTTGGAGAGGGTGTGGACTTGGTGAAGCTGTGAAATGGTTGTCATTCTGGACAGTAATTTGGAACTATGCTCACAAAGTTACTAACCTTTTAGACCCAGAGATACCACTATGAAGCTTGAAACCCTAAGCAGATCAAAGAAAGGGGAAAAGACCTTATATATACAAAAATATTGACAGCAACTCTTTTTGTGGTGGCAAAGAATTGGAAGCTAAGGGAGTGCTGATCTACTGGGGAATGGCTGAATAATTCTGTATATGAATATAATAGAATATTACTGTGCTGTAAGAAATGATAAAAAGGACAGCTTCAGAGAAACCTGGAAAGACTTGTATGAATTGATGAAGAGTGAAGTAGGAAGTACCAGGAAACAATTCAGACTAACATCAACTCTGTATAAACAAATAATTGATAAATATAAGTAATATTTCAACCCCTTCAATTGACACTGATCTTGACCCCTCCCCTCTTCTATGTATCTAGATGGTCTTAGAGTTGCTTTGGTTGAAAAATTCATCACTTTGAAGCCAATCTATCACCTAGTAAAGGGCCTAATAGATGCTTAAGGAATTTTTCCCAAATTGGGGCTAACAATGACCTCTTTTAAAAGTGAAATTAAATAGATAAAACAGGGACATCTTTATGAAAGAAAGCATTTCCAGCTTATTTCTGAACAGGGGGGCCCTTTTCTGTGGAAAAGGACTCTGAAGGAAGAGGCCCAAGTTCAAATCCTGACTCTGCCATTTACTGGGTGTTCTTGGACAAAGCAGCGAGCCGCCTCATGCCTCAGTTTCCTTAGCTGTAATACTTAGGGGGTTAGACTAAATGACCTTAAGGTCTCTTCCACCTTGAACTCTATGATTCTATGATTTTTATCCACCAAAAAGAGCTATCTTCTCTCCTGGCTTACTGTCTGATTGCCATTTAGAAATTTTATAAGACATTCACTTCCAATGTGACAACTTGTTTCTGATAGAGGATAGGATAAGATGTGTAGACTACCTTAGTTTAAGGTTCTCTCTGTCCGCCCTGGTGCCACGCCTTTCTGGCAAAGTCAAGTGCCAGAAGAATCGCTCGTGATTGAAGATCAAAGCTATGCCTCTCCTCTTGTGATCCATTTTGTACCTTTCTTCTGGATCAAGTAAGTCACTGTTCATGAAAAGTCAAAGAATAAGAAGTGAGTCAAATTCACCAGGTACCTGTACCAATAATGTCAGTTAATCTATCAATAGGTATGATTAAGTGCCCTATGTGCCTAGGACTGGGCAAGGTATTGGGGAAACAAAAAAAAAAAAAGAAATAGTCCTTGTCCTCAAATAGCTTATATTCTATAAGGGTAGACAGCAAATGCAGAGTATAGGGACTGGGAATGGACCTGTAAATTCCCTGTTACAGGGAAACTGCAAAATAAGAAAACATACTCTATACCAATGTAGGTACATTGGTACATTCTCTCCAACTTCTAATTTTAGAGAAGTAATCCTTAACCTGGGGTCCTGAACTTTAAAAAGAAAAATGCTGATAACTATTTCAAAATAATTGATTTCCACTGGGACACTAATGTACTGTTGGTGGAGTTGTGAACTGATCCAACTGTTCTGGAGAATAATTTGGAATTATGCCCAAAGGGCAAACAAACTGTGCATACCCTTTGACCTGGCAATATCACTCCTAGGTCTGTGTCCCAAAGAGATCATAAAAAAGGGAAAGGGACCCACACGTACAAAAATATTTGAAGTGGCTCTTTTTGTGGTGGCAAAGACTTAGAAATTGAGAGGATGCCCATCAATTGGGTAATGGCTGAGCAAGCTGTGGTATATGAATGTAATGGAATACTATTGTGCTATAAGAAATGATGAACAGGGTGACTTCAGAAAAACCTGGAAAAGACTTATATGGTCTGATGCTGAGTGAAGTGAGCAGAACCAAGAGGACTTTGTGCACAATAACAGCCACATTATGCGATGACTAATATTGTTAAACTGAATCCTTCTCAGCATTACAAGGATCTAAGACATCTCCAGAGGCCTCGGGATGGAAAATGCTGTCCACATCCAAAGAAAGAACTATGGAAATTGAATCACTATCACTCATTTTTCCCTTCTGTTGAGTTTTGCTTCATCTTTCTGATGGTTCCTCCTATTGGTTTTAATTTTTACTTACAACTTCACTAATGTGAAAAAATGTTTAATAGGAATGTAAATGTAAAGCCTATATCAGATTGTGCGCCATCTTGGGGAGGGTGGAACGGGGGTAGGGGGAGAAAAATTTTAAACTCAAAAGAATATGGAAGTGATTATTGATAAATCAAAATAAATTAATAAAATTTTTTAAAAAGACCTATTGGGGCAGCTAGGTGGCACAGTAGATGGATCTCTGGCCTCAGAGTTAGGAGGACCTGAGTTCAAATCCAACCTCAGACACTTGACATTTACTAGCTGTGTGACCCTGGGTGAGTCACTTAACCCCAACTGCCTCACCAACAAAAAGAAAAAGACCTATTACCTTTTAATTAAGGCATCCACTTCTGTCACATTTTGTCCAGCATCCGCTAAAAACAAAAACAAAAGAGTTTTTGAGATGGAAACACATCAGGAAATGTTAAACGCTCTCTCTTCCACACTTATAAAAGGCTTGTGTCTTCTTCAAAAGTGGCCTTTAAAAAATCCGAGTCTCCTGGTTTGGTGTGTCTTACATATGTCAGCTTTGAAAAGTGCTGTTTGACTCACAAATCATTTGCAATCTTACTAAGCCTCCATCTTTGGGAGGGATGGCTGGCTCGTCTGTATGTTTTAATTACAGAATAAAAATTTTTAAAATATTTCTTTTCAAGGCAAGTTGTTCTCTTCAGGAGATACGATTTAGCTTAAAAGACGGTTTCCAATTCAAGAAGTCCCATGCTTGTTTACGTGCTGGGTGCGACAACTGGAAAGCTACTCACTGCCCCACCCCCGACCAACTCACAGACTGCAAGAGGTCAGAGGCAGCTGGGTGGCACAGTAGATAGAGTCCTAGTCCTGGAGTCAAGAAAACCTTGAGTCCAATCCAGCCTCAGACACTCCCTGACTGTGTCACCCTGGGTAAGCCATTAACCTCTGCTTGCCTCAGTTTCTCATCTGTAAAATGGAGATAATAATAGTACCTACCTCTCAAGGTTGTCGTGAGGATCAAATGAAATGATTTTTGTAAAGGTACTTAGCAGAATGCCTGGCACATAGTAGGTGCTTAGTAAATGCATATTCTCTTCCCTTCCCTTTAGAGCCCACCAAAAAGCAGCTCTCTATGACCTTAGAATGAAGAGCAGGAGTCAAATTGCATTGGCAGAGAGATTCTTCATCAGGAATTCCTATACCACTGAAATCACAGGTCTGGCCCAAGTGTGAGTGTGTGTGTGTGTGTGTGTACGTGTACATACTATATATGTATACAATAAGTTTGTACTTACATAACGCTACAAAGTACCATATTAAATTAATAGCTTAATTAACTGCAGGAACACTTTTGACCCAACCTTGTATTTATCTCACTAAAGATTCACAATCACCTGTAAGGTAGACGATAAAAGTATGATGACCCCCACTTTACCAAGGAAGGAACCAAAATTTGGGAGGTGATATGGTTTACTTAGGGCCCTGCAGCTAAGAAGTGGTAGACTTTTAGATTTATAGGTACAAGGACTTTAGAAGGTCAATCATTAACAGATGAAAAAATTTGTCCCCTAAAAATGAGGTGCAAAGCTGAGATTTGAACCAGATAACCCACTGTGGTGGTCTTTGCATTTACATCATGCTGTTGACTACAGTGCTTTTCCTCATAAGGCAAGGAAACAGTACCCTACAGAAAATACCAAAAGAAATTCATATCCAAGATTTTTCTTTTTGGTGCTAACCAAGGAATCTCCAATCTCTCTTTTTCAAAAACAGAGAAAAACCAGCCCATAAGCGTTGCAAGCTGGGAAGACCCAGATGGAATGCCCACCCTCTTCACTATTCACCTTCTAGGGGGTGCAGTGGGGAGCCTGAAGGACTACAGAAAACACAGGTTTAAAAACTCTCATAACAAGATGCAGAAAGAGGCATGTTTTTGGACATTGTCAATGTGTAGATTCGTTTTCCTTACCTAGGCTTATTTGTTGCAAATGTTTTTTCTTTTTAATTTAGGGAAAGTTGGAGGAGAGGGCTGGACTAATAAAGCCCCAAAAGGCAGGGAAGCGGGGAAAGTGAAACATTCTTTAATATGCATGTTGGAAAATAATGCATGGATTTATCATATTTTTTAACGCAACTGATATGAAATTGTGTGGGACAAGTGAAAGTTTCTCATGTGAAATGGAAGCCATGCCCCAAAAATTTAGTTAAGGCTTTAGCATTAGCCGGGCCTAAGTTTCATTTTCCTGTAAATCATGTGATCGGGCCATACACCTGTTACCCATCACCTCTCTTGTTTTGTAACCACCACCCCAGCCTTATCTTTACCAAATAAGCCAATCTTCTAGCTTCCAAGCTTGTTTTGGGTAAAATGTATTTCTTAGTTTCTGGGTAGAATGTAAGGTCTTTTAACTCAACCAATGAGGATAAAGAGATTGAGGTAAACAAGTGGGGGAGGAGGGTGTTTCTTAGAGTTGTTTGTCTAAGGGTATATAACTGCTTGATTGCTGCTTGTATCCTGCCTCCCTACTCCAGTCCGCCCTGGGTAGGTGATGCCCAATTCTCAAGTGAGACTTACTAGAATAAAACTTCTGTTTCTACTGAGAGAAACCTCTGAATTTTTATTTGGGTAGGTGGTCTCAATCCCATTCGATTGGAGAATCGTCCAGAATTTTCTTTGATTAGGGAGGGGGCTTCCTTGCCAAGGTCAAGACCAAGCGGGCATCCGAGATTTCTCAGAGGTCTTGAGCCCTGGAGGGAGGTTACTGCCCAGTCTTTGAAATAACCCCAAAGAGAGGGACTCGGAGAAACAGAAGGCTTGTTAGGGCTCCGATGACTAAAAATGAAAAGAAGAAATTCCGGCCGGCCAGTGAGTGAGAGCATTCACGTAAGTTGTAGGCGTGCAATCCAGAAGTAAGCACTCAGGGGTCTGGAGGTAACTGGCATAGGGTGAGGGCCCTTTAGGATAGACTCTAGTTTGGGCAGAATCCAGGCCTAATCAAATTTCAGAAGAGATACTCATTGAAAGGACCCGCTGAGAAAGCTTCATGGGTGAGTGGAGGAGTGAGCGACCCTCCTCAATGATTCAGCTGAGTCTTTAGTCTCAGGGAGTTTGGTGACGACTCCCATAAATTCCATAGGTGAGGACTTAGGAATGGGAAAGGAACAATCTGGATCTGCGCAGTTGGAGTGCAAATGTGAGGTACCTATAGACAAGTCTTTTAGGCAATCGATTGCAGAATTGGAATGAACTACCAAAACATAAAGGGAAAGATAGAGAGAAAATGATTAAATATGATTTGAGGATTCCACAGGGCAGAGGGTTGTTGCGTGTCTATTTTTTTTGTGTGTTTGTGTCTGTGCGGGGTATGAGTAAATGTCAGTGTGTATCTTTTGCAGCCAGATAGCAGAAGGCTGCAGCTGGACTCTGGAATGTTGCTTTCTTTCTCTCCCCCTCTTCCTCCCTGGCAACAGCAGCTTCAGAGGGACAGGTAGATGAGAGAGTGAAAGAGAGAAAAATACTTTATTATTTAGGTTATATGACTGGTAAAAAGCAAGTTGAGAAGGATTTTCAAAGTGTCAGGTCAGAATTAGAAAGAAATAAGATATGTGCGGTTTTAAAGGGACTTTAATCAAAGTCCATTAGAAAGAAAGGCAAGAAAGTTTAAGTATGTAGGCAAGAGGAGTATGTGTAGAAAGCTTAAGGAAGGTATAATTTATTTGCACAGTGGGAACAGAGGTTTTGAAAGTAAGAAGGTTTTGAAACTTTTGGGAAAAAAAAATAATAATTTCTCTCTCTGCATTCTAATTCTGGCCAAATTTGAGTGTGGAGACAAAGAGAGAAAAAGGGAACCTTTTCCCCTCAGATTAAAAAGAGAAGTAGCACTTAATCTTTTCTGCCTCTCATAAAAAAGAAAAGTTTTTGTGTATCAGAACATAAACAAAAGGTAATTTATGGGCAGCTGGGGGCTGTGGCTTGTTGGGGATGACTGGGTTCAGCTGTTGCCGAGACCATGTTTCCCCATGAGCCCCAACTCATTCAAATTGGTAAAAATGTGGTGTTTTTAATTTCAGAACTTGTTACACTGTCTGGCACTAAAGTAAATTGAAAGAAACTAAAGAACAGTGGAAAAATAGTTGTACAGGCAGTTTGAGGAGAGCCCTATTCAATTATCTGCCTTCAGAAATGTAAAAAGAAAGATTTTTTTTCATTGGGTCTGTTTTAACTTTTTAATATACTGCTTACATATTTTTGAATTTTCTTATGTGATATAATCCAGTAAGCAATTGTATTAGTTATGTTGCTGGAAGGGCAATTTCTTTTATCATCTGGAATGTTAAATTCATTGTGCCTTCAGAGAAAAGAGAAAAAGGAATGAATCTGGCTGTTGGGGCACTCTATATGATCCTGTTTTGTAACATTTCCTTCTAAGTATTGTAATTTAAGAAAGCATAGAATTTCCAAATTTTGTCTGTATTTAAAGGGAATTTTCAGTTAAAATTGTTTTGTTATCATTTATGAAATTTGTGAGATTTTTAAGTAAGTTGTTTGGGATTACTGTTTTAATGCTAAAACCTGAGAGGAATAATCGATTACTGTATCTGTGTAGGCAAGGTCATCTGCCCTGAGAAAAGAACTTGTTAGGATTATGCAGTTCCTAGACAATGAACTTGACTTGCTGAGAAGCTGCAAGTTTATGTACAATAGGTAGAAATGATTTCTAACGATTGGCTTTTACACCAGGGCAAGTTTAAATTTGAGAAGGAAAGATGTACAGTGAGATTTCTTATGTATGAGCCCTGGTAAATCTATATTGCTTATTGCAACTCCACGAGAGTAAAATTAGCTGCATCTGGCTTTAAGCTGTGATTAGTGAGACTTGCTGTTTGAGGTAAAAGGCTCTTGGGAGTATAACTAATTTTGTTTTGAGTTTGAATTTGGGTATAGTGGTCTGCATTAAATCAGTATCTGAGAGAAATGCCACAAGAACAGATGGAGGTCTACTTAGAGGAAATGTGATTCATTTGGGAAAAGGCCGAGGGGACAATCTTAGCCTCAATCAAGGATGGCATCCTCCTGGCTCAGTTTCCCCATTGTGTTCCTTTGGAAAGGAATGTTTCCCACCTGACTATTTCCTGAGTTTGGCTATGAGGAGAAACAGATACTGCATAATTGGAGAACTACAACTCTATCTGAATTTAAACAAAGCTAAGGACATGTTCCTGCTCTTTTTCCTTCTACAGTAATCTCTATAATCAGAAGGTTTTAGAAGTACAGTAACAAATTCACTAAAATAATTGATTATGAAACATCTTAGGTTATTATAGAACTGGGACTAGTGTTCCTGTATGAGTTAGGGTCTTTTAATTCTTGATAGTGGTATGGAGACAATCAGAAGTCTATGGGAATGTTATTGTGTTATTTGGATGATGGCATACTCGTCTAAAGTGTTGTTACCATTTATTAATAATGTCAAAAGAAGAATGGCTTGTGATTTGTTTTGTAAACGCCATCAAAGAAACAAGGCATGACTAAAATTTTAAGATTTGATATGTACTGTGTTAAAAAAAATTGATATGTATGTACTGAAGCCTGTGATTAATTCCATAGTGAAGTCTCATCCCCTGGTGAGGAAATTAATAATGGATTAATGTAAAGTATAAGACACTGGGTTTTGATGTGAATTTCTTAAACATGACAATTGGCCATGGTTCCAATTTTGAGTCTGTAAAAATGATCAGGGTTATAAGGACTAGAAATAGTGATTTAAAATTGTGCTAAGATCATTTCTGTAGGAGAATGGACAGAAAGCTGGGGGGAAGAAGAAGAAGAAGAAGAAGAAGAAGAAGAAGAAGAAGAAGAAGAAGAAAGAAGAAGAAGAAGAAGAAGGAGAAGAAGAAGAAGAAGAAGAAGGAGAAGGAGAAGGAGAAGGAGAAGGAGAAGGAGAAGGAGAAGAGAGGAGAAGGAGAAGGAGAAGGAGAAGGAGAAGAGAGAAGGAAAGAAGAAGAAGAAGAAGAAGAAGAAGAGAAGAAGAAGAAGAAGAAGAAAAGAAGAAGAGAAGAAGAAGAAGAAGAAGAAGAGGAAGAGGAAGAGGAAGAGGAAGAAGAGGAAGAGGAAGAAGAGGAAGAGGAAGAAGAGGAAGAGGAGAAGGAGGAGGAGATGACGATGATGATGATGATGATGATGATGATGATGGCTGGAACAAATACCAAGGACAAGAGGATTTCATTGATGGTGTTCCCTGCCAGACAGCTGTATAAGAAAAGAATTTTTGAATCTTAAAGGGACAATTGCATTATTGTTTTCTTTTGGGTCTCTTTATCTGCACTTATGAAGAGGCTGCCCCTTTGATTTGTCAATGCTCAGATTAATCCTTCCCATATTTATTTAAAGGGGTGGTCCTGGTTTGGGGGAACTTGGTGGAAGCAAGTTTTATGCTTCTTATTGATAGCAGTGAGTGGAGTCATACTACTCCCAGTATGTGTCCCTTGCATGATGCAGTTAATTACCACCACTGTACAAAGGACACTCTCTAGAACGATTACATTAAAAGAGCCTGTTTAGTGAGTCCACAAGACTAATGATATCGGGGAATCAAGGATGGATGACAGTCAGTCAGGAAGAAGAGGAAAGGTCAAACCCTGATGAAATAGCAAATAGGGAGGCTGCAGAAACTTACCAATTTTGTCATGAGAAACTTTCAACTATGAAATGAGAGGGGGGACTATGTGGGACAAGTCAAAGTTTCTCATGTGAAATGGAAGATATGCCCCCAAAATTCAGTTAAGGCTTTAGCATTAGCTGGGCCTAAGTTTCATGTGATCGGGCCATACACCTGTTATCCATTCCCTCCCTTGTTTTGGAACCACCACCCCAGCCTTACCTTTACCAAATAAGGCAATCTTCTAGCTCCCAAGCTTGTTTTGGGTAAAATGTATCTCTGAGTTTCTGGGTAGAATGTAAGGTCTCTTACCTCAACCAATGAGGATAAAGAGATTGAGGTAAGTGGGGGTGAGGGGTGGGGAGAGGGTTCTTAGAGTTCTTTGTCTAAGAGTATATAACTGCTTGTTTGCTGCCTGTATCTTGCCTCCCTACTCCAGTTCGCCCTGGGTAGGTGATGCCCAATTCTCACGCGAGACTTGCTAGAATAAAACTTCTGTTTCTACTGAGAGAAACCTCTGAATTTTTATTTGGATAGGTGGTCTCAATCCCATT